GTTGGAAAACATGAGTGGTCATTCCAACTGCTGGACAATGCACAATGTAGAAACACCCCCAAGTGAGTAAAACTAGACCAAAGGCTCCTAGGTCACAAAAACCGTGCATTAGTGAATGCTAATTTTATTCTGATCATTCACAGCATAAACATAAGGTACGGAGCACAGGAAGCACTGTCGTATAAAACCAGTGACAAATTCTAGCCATGCAAGACCAGATAAATTAACGTGTACAGTCAAGTAAGCTATCCATCACCCTCCTAATGTTTGGTTAGGCCAACTTGGTCTGAAGACATTAAAGTCAATATCTAGGTTGTCTGGTTTAGTCACGAAACAGTAACTGCAGGTTAACAGTACGCTCTCCTGGTAAATGTCATTACTACAACATCAAGGTTTGTATTGCTCATTAAAGTTCCCCTATGCCTCAAAGCTTAGATAAAAATTGAGAAAAAAAAAATATAAAAACCCCACCAACCTTAAAGAGCGATTCACGGCAACAAACATGTACATTTGTGGTTTGAAGTTCTTTATTTAGTTTTGCAAAGAACAGCATTAAAATTCAAAATCAAAGCATGTCGGTTACAAGCAGCAATTTGGAGACTTTAGAAATCGGTGATGGACAGACGAGATATTGGTTTATCAATTAGAAGTGAATTTTAGTGGTTCTGTAACAGATGAAATTGAGAAGAGTATCGCAGTGCGCGTCATTCCAGCGTTTCTCACCTGTGGAAATTCAGATGTTATTCAAACATGCTTGTGCAAACAAAGCCATAAATATAAATCTGTAGTAAAATGTACAAGATTTGAAGCCACCTTTATAGTTAATTTTCAACACTAAATAGCTTTAGATATATGGACAATATATCACCTCCATATCCCATTTCCACACAACGTTCATTTCCTCCTCCATTACTTGGTTCACCAGTATGCCAGTCACTGTACTCAAACGCTGATCCATCACTCCAAAACCAGATATCCTCCTGAAGAACATTACCAAACTTGTTGCCGTTTCCACATGCTGATGCTTCTAATTTTATTTTCATCTTTAAATAAGAACTCTGAGAGGCTAGGTTTAAATATACACATTTCATTTTTAGTGTGAAGCCATTACTGGTGTTTGTTGGGGCAGTGAAAACCAGCCTTTTAAAACAAAAAAACCCACACACACAACCTGACAATGGTTGAACTGATATTTGAAGGGAAATGAAAAGTCAGCTACCTTAATTGCATCATGAGCACCAATCCAGGCACGGGAGTTGTCATTACCATGTTTTATCACAAGAGTTTTTAGGAAATTGTGAGCGAGTTGACTGTGGATAGATGCAAGGTTTCCTCCGAGGCCAACACATTGTTTCTAGGAGGATAAAGAGTTACGCTGTTAATGCATCAGGTTTCCTTCTGGAGCATCAGTGAGCGTCTGAACTTTTTGTAGAAGTTGCATGCAAGTCCCTCAGCTGTCCTCAGTGTGAGAAGATGGATCTCAAAATCATAGTCACTGTTGGATAGGGATTGATGAAATTTGTGGACATAAGTACAGAAAAAGCAGAAACTGCAAACTCTCATCTGCAGTAAAGTAGGAAAATTCTGTCTACTTTGTTCATTTACTTTCAGACTGGACTCCATTTACAACCAACGCAATGAGGAACGCTGCAGAAATCCACATGCTGACAAAGCCCTATTAATAAATCAACATTATAAATATGTAATGAATGCATGAACACCAAAAATGGAAATGCAATTAAAAAAAAACAAAACCCACACACACACCTTTACTTTTAACTCAAAATGATTCAATTAAATAGTCATTGTGCATTTTAAAATTTCAAATGTTCAATTCAAGTTTTGTATGGTAATAACCAAAAGGGTGTACACATCTGTCATTCAGTTTAACCAAAAGCCCACTGTAACGTAAAGACTCAGAGATGGAACTCAGTTCAACGGTTTACAAATTATTTGCCGCAGGCAAGACAAATCAGAGCAGGCGAGTAAACATTACTCCATGAAGTTCAATGAGGAGATGATATAGAACTGATATTACCGTCCTTACAGGTGTGGAGGACATCGTGAACATAGGAGTGATGAGTGAGCACACCTCGAGTTAATGAGTATTGAGGGGAGTATCACACATGAAACACAAACACACAATGGGAAGACTTGGAGACACTGAGAACAGACACTTGAGGAATAAGCAGGAAACCACAGCGACCAGGAACTTAGAAGACAGGTAAGCGTCTTTACTCAAACGAGACCAGACACTAACTGAGGCTGAGGTGTGTGCTGAAGTAGGGTGGCTGAGTGGTGGTAATCAGTCTCAGGTGTGCTTGATTACAGAGGGCGTGCAGGTGAGTAGCAGAAGGGATGATGGGAAGTGTAGTGCAGAGGGGACTGTCCCTGCGTCTCAATGTTCATACTATCCATCCTAAATAGTATGTGAGATTAGAATAAGTGTGTCCCAAAGCATAGTATGTTGAAAAGAGTACGCCAAAAGTTCCCGGATGGTTAACTATTTCAGATTTTTGAAGTGTGGATCCGTGCACACTCTAATGGCTAAAACTGATTTCATCTGCAACAGCAATGTGTACTTTTATAAACATCCATTTGGTCGTTAACTTTTAAATGTATCATTATGCATAAAATATTAGCAGAGTTCTTGTATGAAAGACCCGCGACTGGCAGATCAACGAGGTACTTCTTTTCTCTCCAATACGGTAGGAAGTTAAATGAAATGAAATGTGGAGGATGTTAACTGTGGCGAGATGATTGACAGGCCAGTTTACAGTGACAGGGTGCTTGTATCTATGCGACAGAGCGCTCCGTTAAAGCCAAAAGTGTCTGGCTGCAGACTTTTTTTTTTTTTTTAATTGCAATTTTTAGAACAAAGAACATATAAGGGCAATAACATTTCAACTGAATAAAAACAAATACTTAAAATAAATAAATAAAAACGAAATAAGAAAAGCAATAAAAAAAACTCACGTCTGTAAACAAGTACAAATAATTACAAATTATTCAAAGAATAGATTTAAGGCTTTAAAGCAATTTACAGGTTTTTTTTGCTTTGTTATTTCTTGTTTCTTTTAACGTATACAAGTAGTGACCTATTTCTATTCTGAAATGAGTAAAATTAGGTTTTTTCACTGCCCATTTACATTTGTGAATAAAGAATTTTCCATATATAATGAGTAAATTCACAATATACCAAATCTTGAAGTCAACAGTATACTCATAAAAGTATATAAGTATAAGAGTTGCAATTCAATTTTAATACTTTGTTTAACAAAAAAAACCAAATCACACCAAAACACTTTTGTATAAATACAATCATAAAATAAATGAACAATACTCTCATTTTCCTCTTTACAGAAAACACACTTCAAGTCAATGTCTTTACAAAACTTTGCGATTACCTGTTTTACAGGATAAATACGATGCACGATCTTGTATGATACTTCTCTAATTTTATTTGTGATACAAAAACGTCTGGAGATCTTAAAGGTCTCTTTCCAGTTGACATCTTGAAATTGTGATCTCCAAAAACCAATGGCTAAAGGAACACTGGAAATTTGGCAAATCGTTCTAAGATAATTATTATTACATCTTTGTTCTTTTATATTTATAGCTTCCAGTTTAACACTGAAGTCTAAATTAGTTTTTTCGACTATATAATTTTCTAATAATTTCCTAAGTTCTAAAGGAATGGCATTAATTACCATCGTATACTCATTAACAGGTATATAAAATGAATTTTTTTCTAAAAACTCTGAATATGTAAGCGCATGACCATCACTACTATTCAAAAGTTGAGAAACCAACTAAATATTTGCTCTAAACCAATTAACTAAAAAAAAAGATTTCTTTTGGTGTGTAATGTATTTATTATTCCAGATTAAGCATTTGTGAGGGGAAAAATTGTGTTTGAATATAATCATCCATGATAACAATGCCTGTTTGTGAAAATTGGAAAGATTTATGGGAAGCTTGCTAATATTAAAATTACAATTAAGAAGAAATTCAATACCACCTACTTTTTCAAAAATAATATTAGGGATATAATACCATAGCTTATGTCTGGCTGCAGACTTGCACTTGCACTCTCAGACTTGCACTCTCAGACTTGCACTCTCAGACACTTGTGCTTCCGCAATTGACATCACTTGCAGTCTTTTTTATTTTTTATTTTGTTCTATTTATTGATTACTTTTTGTTTGAATCTCTCTGCATTTTACAACAGTAGCCAGGTGGTGAAGACAAGAAAAAAGAAACTAAATTATAATGTCACTTGCAATCGCCACTTGCACTCTCCGCTACCTGTGACGTCACTTGCAATCGACACAAATCGTGCGTGTTGCCAATGGAGACAAGACGCTGTGGTGGTGATTAAATGATTAAAACTAATTTAGTACTATAACATACAGGGTCCTGCAAGAAAAAGACAAGACCCGCAAATCCGTGGACACAGAACAGCAGAATATGAACACAATGCACAAAGTCTCTCGTTAAGCGTTTTTCTCCTGTAGAAAAACATAATTCTAGCTATGCAGGACCAGTTAAATTGAGGTGCACTCTTAAGTAAGCCATCCGTCACCCTCCTAATGTTTGGTTTAGCTAACATGGCCTGAGACATTATAGTCAATATCTAGGTTGTCTGGTTTAGTCATGGAGACAGTAAATGGCAGGTTAACAGTACCCTCTCCTGGTAAATGTCATTACTACAACATCAAGGTTTGTATTGTTCATTAAAGTTCCCCTGCAGTCACTTTATGCCTTAAAGCTTAGATAATAAAAATTAATTTTGAAAATACAAAAAACTCATAAAGAGAGTGATTCAGGGCAAGAAACAAATAAAGATCTACATTTGTTGTTTAAAGTTTATTTTATTATTTTATTTTAGTTTTGCAAAGATTGACATTAAAATTCTAAATCAAAGCATGTCTGTTACAAGCAGCAATTTGGAGACTTTAGAAACCGGCGATGGACAGACATGAGATATTAGTTTATCAATCAAAATTAGGATTAGAAATCAATTCTTGCTGTTCTGTAACAGATGAAATTGAGAAGAGTATCGCAGTGTGCGTCATTCCAGCGTTTCTCACCTGTGGAAATTCAGATACGTTATTCAAACGAATTGTCAAATATGCTTTAGTGCAAAGAGAAAGCCATAAATATAAATGTGTAATAAAATGTGCAAGGTTTGAAACCACCTTTACAGTTCATGTTTTATACTAAATAAAAAATGTGAAATAGCTTTAAATAAATGGACAACGTGTATATATTACCTCCATAGCCCATTTCCACACAACGTTCATTTCCTCCTCCATTATTTGGTTCACCAGTATGCCAGTCACTGTACTCAAACTCTGATCCATCACTCCAAAACCAGATATCCTCCTGAAGAACATTACATTAACATT